CCGTATCAGAAGCGGTGGCGGTGGCGGTGGAGTTGCATCGGCAAGAGTTAAACAACAGGTAATAACATCTGAGCAGTCCGAGGAGCTTATTGACCCCGTATCAGGGGAACAAGTCCCTTTCTAGATTGTTTTTGCTGTTCTCGGGGAGTTCGTGGTAGGACGAATTTCTCAGCTACAGACATCGAAGGGTCGTCGCACTTTTTCCCATGCACTGCGAGCCACTTAGACTAGCAAACCAGCGGAGTACGTTGGGCTGAGGGTGGAAGACTTAATATGAAGGTTCGGACTGGGTTTAGAGATTGATTATCAGACCTTTCAAGAAGAGTGGTCATCGCAGCCTGCCCCCAAGTGCTCTTATCCTGTTTCGGAGGATTCGCGGGGCTTCTGAAATCAAACCTTCATTCATTTTGGAAACGTCCATTTTGGGCCGAGCTGCATCCTACCGTCTTATTGTACTTGCAACCCATGCCCTTAAGCCTAAGCTTTAAATGCTGAATCCTAAGCCCGACAAAACCCTGGGCAGCTCCAGCATTCCTAGCGCCGGCTGATGGGATGCAAGACCGGTGTCAGTCACAGGATGAAGAGCCGTGAAATAGGGAGGCCCTTGAAAGAATATAGGTTAAACTTATACCCTAGGGATCCAAGCAGACAAAAAAATACCACATTGGGCCCAAAAGTTTCAAAAATGACCTGCATTGGGCTTTTTGGATTTCTAGGGATATGGATACGTTGATACGGAGCGTTTAGGGCTCCTAAAGGTTCATTGCGGTTCCTACAGAGATGAACCGTCCCTTCTCCCTGAAGTGTTACCTGTCCAGTAGCCGTCCCTTTTAAGGGATTATGGGCTGTTCGGATTTGAGTGCAGCTGTGGATAGTCCATGTCGTAAGTACGGAGTCCGGAGACTGTTCCGTTTGAGTTGGCAGTTCATTGTAGTGGCAGTATCAAAGGGAGTAGCCACGATGATGAGGCGCCCGTGGGGGGTAGGTTTGGGTCCAGCATACGACCGCGCGGCATTGGGCCTTGCTCGCTTTATGGTCCATGACAGAAGGTCCACTTCATAACGCACCAAATATTCTCCACACTTCAAAAAAGGACCCCCCCTGTCCGCAGTTCTTGGAAATCCCGATATCTCTTGCGGTTTCGGGTAAGCTGCAGTTGTCCATTTCTAGAGCCAGATGTGAGGCATAGCTTAGGTGAGCCACACATCAAGGAACCTGGCTCAGGGTTCCTACAGAGCCAAAGGGTTTAGGGTTTAGGGTTCCTATAGAGACCAGACCTTGCTCCTAATGGTTGTGTCCCCAATGTGCAGATGAAGGGTCTTTGCTTGAACTGCTCAATGTTTTGAGATGGATGGCTTTTGGAGCTTTTGTGGCCAATGTTTGGCTTAGGAATCCTTTCGGAGCCAAAACCCTCGTCCGTTCAGGATTGCTTGAGGTTGGCATTTGGACTCGTCAACATTTAACTTTGGCATGGATGGGCAAAAGGACTGGATCCGCCATTAGGCGCGAGCTATCATTTCAATTAGGACCTTCCCCCAAGCAAACGTGGAAGTCCATGTAGCCCCTTTGTGCCCCTTTTTGAAAGGACAGTAATTAGTCTTTACGGGCTCCATATGTATCTGGAAGATGTTCTTCATCCAGACTTCTGGCCACTGCGAAGCTTGCTTGATGGGTTCTAGCGGGAATGAAGGAATAGAAAAGGAAAGGGCAACAACTGTCTAGGTCTCGGGAAATGAACGGGCATCAAGGAAGATGGAAACTGCCACTATAAAATGGGGATGATACAGGGGTTACTACCTATGGGGGTCCATTTCCGCAGTCCCTTCAAGCAGCCGGTACGTCTTTTGCCCGCCTGCGAAATGGCAGGGTAGCAGTAGGTTGTAGGATTCCACGTGCTCCTCGTTTGGAGGGGTGCTGAACTTAAAAACAACTAGCATGCCCGCTTGACCACTGAAAACCTTGCGTATTGGGATACACAAACTATTAAGACCTTACGTGCTTGGATACTTCGGCTGCTGAAGCCCTACGTACTTGGTTCATGAGCCTAGTAGCCTATTGAAACCTTCTTGGTGTCTTCAACAACGTACCTTTGGTTAGCAGCAAATGCAGGAAAGCAACCTTATATAAACCCCAATAATGTCCCATTCCCATTTTCTTTTTGCATTTCTTCATTCCCTGCCAAGAGGTAGGTTCGTAATCTGATCGTTCCTTCCCTTTCTTTTCCACTCCCATATACGCCTACATATATGACGATGTATCCCTCGATACCTTTTCAGAACCCTATGTATCCCCATGCACCTTCAACAGCGGTAAGTGAAGTCAACTCGAAGCCGCCCTTCAAGTCGAGACCGACATCAGGGCGATTCTCCCTTGGTATTCCCAACATCAGCCCCCTCAACCCGAATTTGGCGTTCCTTACATGTGGTTGAAGGGGCCTAAACGATTATATAGAGGATTATGTACTCGTAGGTGTTAATGGAAATATGTAGGACTTGGAATACTGAACATACCGTTATTACTCTTACTATCATTATTTCTTTTAGTATTCGGAAATCACAACCACGGTGCCCGCTGTAGATGGTTGTTGGGTTCCAACTTGGAGGCATTGCGGCCGGAGTCACAGACCCTCAAAGAGTCTAGGGTTTAAGGTTTAGGGTCCAAGATTGAGCCTGGTTCTCTCCTGGTTCTAGACTCTCAGGGTTCGGATTTAGACCTTAAAGCTTATGCTTAGTGTTCCCCTAAACCCTAAACCCTATTGCTCAGTGTCAAAACGCGAGCATCAGCTTCAGGGGAGAGATGCATCAGCTCTCGTCCAGAGACAGGTGACAATCCCCTGTCCCTAACCTTCACCACCCTACCTGCCCATAGCAATCGAGATTCTCAAGGTGGTATCAACATGTACATACACACATATGCATGCAGATGTGTGCGTGTGTGTTTGCATATATGTCTGTAAATATGTACATATGTTCGGGGAACATTCCTGATTGATGGGGCTGGGGCATAAAAAAGGGTAGGGAGTACCAGGGAGAAAGCAAGTTTCACAGCTGGGCAGCAACAACGGAGATTGCCAACCAAACGACCTCAATGTACTCCAGTCCGCGTGGGAAGCGATTGATTATGTCTTGGCATGTTACCCCCTAAACCCTAAACCCTGTTTCTGTATCCTTCTTACTGTCGGACCTTGTCCCTATAAAGCATTGGTTTAGGGTTTAGGGTTTACCGTTGGAGTGTCGAAACAACTAGATCCACTAGGTAATCCCAGTTACTAGAGTAGTTTCCATTTTCTTTCCCAGTAGTTATGCGGGAAATAATACATACTTGATGGAAAAGACAATGGAAACTACTATAGTTCCTGGGATTTTTTTTTCCGCATTTACGGTCTCCATAGGAATGGTTTTAACACTTTTATGCAAAAAGGATATGTTGTTTAATGATTTGTGGGGATACAGATATGATCCCAGTTGCTATATCGTTTTCGGATTTCATTGAGACTGATTTGCCATTATCGGGGTACTCCAATCAGGGGCAGGATGAAAACAGGAGGGTTTGGGTTGAGACCTGCTTCCAACGCGGTGTTTGCAGATATGACTTCCCAAGTTCGCAGGTGGCCGCACACTTTCCTAAGTTTGCCTGATAATTACAGTTTCCTGCAAGCCCCCTCGTCGAAAGTAGCTTCCCTTTCACACCCAGCAGCATGGTATTAATCAATCAGGATGTCCAATAGACATCGTATAATTAGTATCATCACTGTTGTCATTCTTTCTATTATGACTATTGTTGTTATGTTTCTATTTCTACAATCATTACAATTACGATTAGTACTATTGGTACTGTTACTAGTATTATCACTACTGTTAGTACTGTTATTAATAGTATTTCTATTCGTACTATGATGGTCATTTTGGTGGTCCGTTGCGCCATGTCATGGAGCTCGCCAGGGTTTCTGGTTCAGCCAGCGGAAATGCCCTTCGTGCGCGGCCGAAAAGATGTCCCAGTTTCAGAGTTCATCGGACGGGTGGTTTTGGGTTTAAAGGGCCTATAAAGCCTAGACCCTAAATCCTAAGATGGGCCTGGGCCGGTAGAGCCTAGAGTTTTTGGAGTACAGGGTGCTTAGAGGTCCGAAATCCACACGGGAAGGGGCCGGTCGGTCATTTCCTGCAAAGCACTTTAGGTATAGTCCCCTTTGAGTAGATAGAACATGGGGTATGTGGGGATCTTATTTTAATATACTCGAAAGCCATATTCTAATTAGTTAAGCGGGACTACAAGTTTTCTGCGGAAATCTTCAGCAATCCAGGATCTGGAACCTTGCAACCTACCCATGGAATCAGAGCACCTAAGAGGAAAAGTTTCCGAGGCGGTGCACCTAAGGTCGTACCCATGCTATGATCCCCTCAACATGGCCCTCAGACAACCCCAAATTCCTCCAGCGGTTCTTCAAAAGCACCCTTGGACCAAGGTACAGTCACAACCCCTAAAGCTCAAGATACACCCCTGCCACTTTCGCAAACCCCAGGGTTTGGGGCTTAGGGCTACGCGCGCGACATGGGAGAATTCGTAGTCCCCTCCTCGCATGTGAACTACCCTCCCGCCATGTTCGGGGCGTGCGCTAAAGGATTGGCACCTGCAAGCCTTCCAATGTCAAATGTCCCTTGCGCACCATCTGAGCCCAAGACGCTTCAATCCCCAAGCTGTCATGGTAGCGCGCTTTGGTGTTCAGGGTTTCGGGTAGAGTCTTAGAGTCACTGCTACCCCGTCCTTGTAGCTTGTGCGGTTGTAGCACGCCGCTCACTTTTACCTCAAGACCAATTTCTGACTTCCAGACATCCAGACTCCTTGTGTTTAAGCCCCCAAGCCCCTAACTTACTGGCTCTTAGTAGGGAAGATGGAAATACCGTATAAAGGGATTGTGTTCCCCTATTTCCTGCTAAGAACCCATAAGTTAATCATCCACCCTGAAGCCCTGAGTGACCCCAATCAATTCCGGAGCCCTGGAGGAGTCTCCCCGAGATATGACAGCCGCGTCCTAAGTCCTAGGTGCTCGCAGAGAAATTTCATGGAGAAGTCACTTCCTGCTGAGAATGAGAGTCCCCACCCCGTATACCCCTGATAGTAATTAATTTTAGTGTGACCATTGAAACCATTTGGTAAGCGAAGATGCATGATTACGGGGGGTTGGCTCTGTTACTATCATTAGGTAGAGTGGATGTGATCCCATCTCCACTCGGGTATACGGTTCAGGGTAACGTCAGCATTCCCTGAGCCCTATCCCCTCCAGCCCTCTGCTTGCTCCCCGTCTAAGCCTGTCTAAACTAGACACGCTTGCGGCCATGCCTGCAGTGCAAAGCGTGCATTGAAACCCCAAGCCTAAAGTCTTAACCCCAGGAGCCCAGACGACCTGAAACATTAGACCTGGATGCGCAACAGCTCTGAAACAAAAGAAGAACCCTGTAGCCCTGAAACACTCCAAAGCCTGAATCCCTATCTCCAGGTCATCTCCTTCTCACACTTTTTGCCGAGACAGGAGCTTTTGCCCGAAAAACGTGACCTGCTGCAATTCTGGACAGACTCAGGATGGATTGTGATTTAAAGGTGCAAGGGATCTGGGTCAGGTCAGGGTAGCAAGGGAGCTGGGTCCAGGGTTATGAGATTTGCTGGGGTTTGGGGTGCGCCGCGTTCGTCCTTTGGCAGCACTTCGCTTGGTGAAAATTGAGGTAAGAGCATCCATGGCCATCTGAGTAGAAAAATCGCCTTTGGACCACGGTTTAGGGGATTTCGGCAGTTGCTTTATGTACCGTAGAAGTCCAGGCGGTTGCAGCAATGAAGCCGCAGAAGTTTTATCCGGTTTCACGATTGGGGGTTGATCCCTAGGACCACCTCTCCTGCTTGGCATGTTCTGTAGAACTTTTGTGATGGTCAGGAAGAGGTTCTTGGATAGCATGGGGAAGGCAAACCCTATAGATTGGGTACTGCCCCCACTCTGTAACAGTTGGATAACACGTATAATATAGTTACATATAGCCCTTAATATGCGCTAATATTCGACTGTTACAGGCAGTACCCAACCTATAGGCTCGCAGGTGATGCAGGTTCAACCCACTGCTGTCAGTGCCGGCCATCGCAATGTCATTGAGCTAGAGTGAAAACTTCTTGAAGAGGTTTACATTGGGGACTATATAGGGGAGTATTATGCGGGTTTTTGAGGAGGATACTAGGAGTTAAGACTACAGCTCATTTGGCGTCCAAGGTCCTTTGAATCGGTGAGTTCCTATTGGCTTCAGGTCATTGCTCCAGGGACGCCAATTGGCCCCGGCTTGCAGATCCGCAAGCCCCAAGCAGCAAGTCGAAGCCACAAGCAGCAAGTCGTTGCACTTTCCGATCTTGAATACTTGTTGGTTTGCAGCTGTCAGATGTTGTGCGTGATCGAGCGTAGTTATGATACACCAAGCAGCTCGCTGCATAAACTGCTTCAAAACTTCAGAAGCCCCAAGCCCAGGGCCATCAGCCCAATAAATTCCATCAGAACTTAGACTAGTTACAAGGACTCCTTACCCAGCGTAATATCCCGCTTGTGAACTCGCCCCCATTGAACGGAATAGCCGAGATTCCGCTTTAAATCCCTCAGGTCTACACCTTAAACAAAAACCTGACCTGGCCTCCCCAAATATTACATGTAGGACCTGTGTAGACCCTAGTCACGGGTAGCTGGGGCGTCCCGGTCGCTAAATCCTTAAGCCTGAACCCTAAACCTACTCAGGGCTGCTCTACTTTCCTCCCATAGCTAAAGCTGTGGGATCCAAGCCGCTGGGAGAACGCATCCGAGCGTTGTCCCCCGAGCCTGGGCAAAAAGATTGAGTTCCGCAATGTATGACTTTCTGGGGTGGAACACGGATCGTATTCGGTGATTGTGTAGGGATAATGGCATGGTTGGGTCCCTGGAATTCGGCCGACATGCAGTTACCTGTTTTGCCGGGTTCCCTTCCAGAAGAGTTGAGGCTTCAGGGCCTTAGGTTGAGGGATTTAGTGTGGAGTGGACGACCGGAGAGTCCTTCGATGTTTTGTGATGTTGTGCTTGCGTATGAGACTGTTGAAAGCGGCTTCTGTGACCATGAGTGTACAAGAAATCAGGAGTGAGGGATTCAGATTGGTCGACAGCATCATCCGAGCTTATATGTGAAATTGCACATGTTTTGTGTTGATAAGGCTTGCATTGCACGTGGTGAGGGTCCTATCATCGGGGTGCTTAGATTATTTTGACCTTTATCCGCTGTGGATCAGATGGAGGTAGGGTCTTTGGTTTGCTTGTTGATTCAGGATGCTCGGGTTCAGCGATGCCATGCGAGAAAAAAAAAGTACAAGAGCATAGGAGAGTCAGAATGACAGTGAGGAAGGCATAGTTGTGAGACTAGAATTGTTGTGAAGCAGGAGTTTGGGCTTGCAATTTAAAGCCAAATCTTGGGGAGTTCACCAGAAACCTCGTCGCAAACTGGTTTTGTGCTTAGCTGGTACACTGTTCCATGCAGTACAGGCGAAGGTGTAACCCAAAAAGCCAGCATAAATTTGCTTAGGTGCTTTTTTCCCCTAACTGAATTAGGATTCCATTTTGGTAGCCCTAAATATTAGGTGCCGCACTAAAACCCATAACCAGAAAGGGAACCAGATGTTTTTGGAATATCCCCTGTGTCATCGCCAGGAGGGCTTGCTTATGTGCCCACAACCCCCCCGTCACATTGGAGGAGGGTGATACTTGAGCGTATAAACTAGAGACAGAGATAAATTCTGAAACGGGTGAATTTATAGGTTAAGGGCTTAGGGTTCAAGAAGTCATGCAATATTTCTTGTTTTTGTGTTGTACTGTTGTGCGTTGACTAACGCGCAAACTCCCCTCTCTATTCTTTAGCAACGGCATCTTGTCTCTTGTTGTGAGTTGCTTGTTCAGCCAGCGTTTTGCAGTTGTAGGTACATCTTGCTGGCTGTTGTACCACAAGTCTGTATTCCTTGCTTTTGTTGTTCTTGTTTTTGCTGGATGCCCCTGCCGCGCCCTCAGCTGGTGAAACCAGCGGCCTGAGTGGCCTGAGGAGTGTGCGCTGCCAGTGGTGGTTGGCCAGACAGGCTAGCCGCATCATGGAAATTGAATCGCCCAGCAAGTTGGTCAACCTGCCGAGTGGCACTGCAAGAGCTTCCGCGTGTGCCTGCAATGGGGGTAGGGGCCACACCCTATCCTATAGTGACGGGGCCTGGCAAAGTAGCGTTGCCTCCTGCAGCGGACGTTCCCTCAGCGCGTGAGTCAAAAGACAAGGAATGGCTGAAGTGGGCGGAAAGGTGGCTAGTGCTTGTGCAGCCGCTGCTCGCAGAGGCACCTATGTGTGATTCTCTGGGAGATGAAGCACTCCCATCACTCAGACAGATTTTGAAGGGGAAGGCGGCGGCGACCTTGAGACGCCATGTGCCTGGATGGAAGTTGTGGCTGGAATTCGCCTTTGGTGAATGCGTTCATCCGGGCGATCCATGTTGAGTCCCCCTCCGCAGGCTACTTGTGCAGGTAGGAGTGCCACAGGAGTCCGTTGGGATGTTCACGCTCATTCTCTCAAAGCCACGCCGTTGGCGAGGGCTGTGCACTTAAACTTGGACAAGGAGTCCAGGAGGCTGTGGGGCACCACCGTGCAATGAGCTCGGATATGGCCATGGTGGAAAACTACTTGAGGGACAGTGTGCGCTGCGAGCTATCAAAAGCGGGGGAGGGCTGGCTGCCCCTCGCGGCGCAGGCTCGAGGTGGCTGCCCACCTGTGCAAGAGCTGCCGCTGCCAAGCAAGCCGTCGCCAAAGCTTGTTGTGCCGCCACCGAGTCTGAGTGGGACTCCAGCTCTTCATGTTCAAGCTGCTCAAGCGAAGACAACGAGGAAGAGCCGGACTTTCTGGGCGCAGTTGAGGAGGCGCGAAAGTATAAATTCTTGGTCAATGCATTCTCCGGGTGCTGAGCGCGCTCAAAACTACTCTTGAACCACTGTGGCTTGAACTTGTTTCCGGTAATTTGTGGTTTGCCAAGTTGCTTCTGTTGTTGCGTTACACAGTTTCTAGGGTTCTAGGGTGCGGCTAGTGCCCGTCAGGAAAAGTGAGGGGACGTGACGAGAGGTGTTTCTACACAGCTTCCTGATAGCCATCCTCCTCCACTCACTTGAAGTTTCCCTCCTTGCAGAACATGAACTGTTTAACTACGGCCTTTTTGCGGGTTGTCGTTTTGTGTCTGATTCTCCCAGTGAGCTTGTTTCCAGGGCACAGACTTGGGCTTCCCTCCTTCCCACACGGGTTAAGGTTTGGGTTTAATTAGGGTTAAAGATTCTGACCGACTCTGACAAAAGAGCCGTTTATGGCCTCAATGTTTTCGGGAGCCGAGAAGTTCTGAACCCAACGCATGCCTTAATCCCACACCTACCTAAGTGATGTATACCTGTTTACGATTCCAAAGACAGCCCATGATTGGGGAAACGCTCCTGCAAGGATGTGCATGTTTTCGGCCATACTCACTATGGCTGGAGTGCGGAGCTAGAGGGCACCCGCTATCTTCAAGCGTGCTTTCTGGCTGTGTTGGCATAGGTTTAAACTGCTTTGGGCTTAGCATTTAGGGCTCAGCGTCAGGTGGTGTGGATGGCAGAAAGCAACCAAACATGTATGCATCAGATATTTGTTAGTTTCTATGGCTCCTACAGCCAAGTCAGCCTTCATGGCAAGCATGGCACCACCTCATCTTCACGTATTGGTAGCAGGGACTGGAATGCTTTCCGCAAGTAGCCCTTATATGAAGAGTTGCCAGGGTCATGGTCACACTGGGGACCCAAAAAGGGACCATGATTTTGACTTTTGACAACCCACCAGGCATTCGTGGTCGTTATTTCATTTTCTTTTCAAGGCTTTAGTCCTTACTAGACACCGGAGAGCATCAGGCCAAGGTTACTCTAGCCCTCTGCAGAAACAAACTCTAACCCCATCTTGCTTGCATTGTCAACCTCTAAGTAAGCATGCCAAGTTCCCTTCCTGACGTCGTATCCATTTCCATTCAACGGGTTCAGGGAAAGTCAGGAGCAAGCTGCTTCAGGTAAGGCTTGCGCCTGACCGTAGCGAAAGAGGCATGCAATACGAGGACTTGAACAGCTGTCCTTGACCGACCGAGCTCCAGGGTAAGGGACGTCTTGGAGTGTGGTTTGCAATTCTTGGCGGGAAGGAGGAACCCTAGCATGATTTGAAACAATTCTTAATTTTTGGTTATTCCAAAAGCTAGCTGCTAGCTGTGTTTTGGGGAGAGTTCCAGGGCAGGTATAAAAAAAACTTGAAGATGGTTTGAAGCATGACCCCAAGACTTGGACCTGCTTTCACATACAAGCCAAGTGGTCAGCTGTCGAAAGTGGGAGTGTAACCTTTTGCCAATAAAGAACTCTTGTATGGCGTGGAAGCTGGCAAGGATCATGTCTCAGGTGTCGCGTACCCGCGTGAGCGTACCGACCGACCATTTTCCATCTTCTGCAAAGGGGAGGCTGGTTCTTGCGCATGAAATGATCTTGCGATTTGTGCCCAGGCTTCAGGACCGGAGCTATATAGGGTTGGAGTATGTTGGAGTGGTTCGGTATATTTTTAAGAGCTCACAAGGAAGTGTTACATACAATGACTATCAGTTTAGGCCTACATACATACTTTCGTCTTTGGATGCAAGAGACATACTCACTACGCCGCTTTGCGGGAATCCTGGCTACACTCTGCGAATCACGTTAGAGGTGAAACGCATCCATTTGTAGTAGTTCACTGCTTAGGGTTTAGGGTCTAGTCTTTAGGGATCCATAGGAGAGCCCACCCAAATCTTGAAATAGCTGTATGATGTTACCCTCAACAAAAAGGCTCCTGCATGGGGGGGGTTCCATAAACAGCCCCCCCTGCATGACCGCGAATGCAATATTGGATAAAGGGAAGTCCAATTGTTGGAAGCCCCACTTGTGACTCAAGTGAGCTATAGTCTAAACCCCTTACAGGGGCGTATATATAGGGGGTTATTATAGGGGTTATTCAGGGGAATACTAAGAGTTTAGCCTATAGCCCATACATACATTGGGTCTTGCCCCCACCCGTTGGATAATATTCATATTATAGTTCTATATAGCCCTTACTGTTGCCCCTATCATAGGCTGTTACTGGGTGGGGGCAGTGCCCAACTCATACGGTCTGTTTCTTTGCAGGCTGGGGCGGCCGCAACGCCCCCCTTATTGGCCTCGTCCTGAGAGATGCGTGCAGTTGAGGGTTTAAGGGCTCGGGGTTGTAGGGTGGCATCAAGGAGCAGAGATGCAAAAAACAATTAGGGTGTCATGACTTTGGCCCTTGTCAAGCGATTCAACCATTGCATTACAAGTTTAGTCTGTGTATAGCCCCCATGATCTACTCAAGTCACGTGGGCCTCTCAGTAGCGTTGGTGGAGCAGACCCTGCCTGCCAACAATCCTGGATATTGGCAAAAATTTGGAAAGCCAAGATTGCACAAAACTTGCTCAATCAACCGTAGGTCCCTTCTTGGTGTCCTGCCTTATTAAAGGAATTCCATTATTTTGGGTTACATAACGGTGACCTAATTGCTTGGCACGAGAGGGACAGAAGCTCCAGGCATCGCCACGCTGAGGTTTACAGCCATCCGCGTCGCCATTTTCCAGCATACGAAGGCTTCTGGTCAAAGTACTACGAGGCGCCCTGCAAACAACTGTTTTAAGGTGGGCAATCTGTCACAAATTGCCTAGAACCTATGGAGGTCCAATGCGAGCAGTTACTTAAGTAGTATGGGAGTACTTTGTAAGCTACCTGCAATGGGGTTCCAGCTTGCGGTGTGCTGGAAGAGGAATCTTTACTTACAAAGGCTTTTCTATCAAGGCAACTGCTTCAAATCTAGGTGCCAATACCTTGGACTGGGTAATGGTGGGCAGGGACGAAGTGAGATGCTGACAGTTGTTCTCTGGACGGTCCGCTTTTGCTTCGCAGAAAATGTTTGACTAGTCTGTCCTTGAAAGCGCGGATGCTTCGAAGTTATCTGCTGTTCTCCATGGCAGCGACCACAAGTTCTGAATTGCTCGCTCTTGCCTTCTAGGCCTTGGTCAAGACAGAAGGATACAAAGACATTTGGCACTGACTCTCTGGGTTGCACGTGCTTATGCTTCCGTTGTTGGATCTGCATCCTTTGCATCGGGCTCATGTCCGGGACAAATGGACATTCCTAGGCAGTAAATGCTGGTAACGCGGTCTCGTCTGTTTTAGAGGACACAAAAAGCTCAGGAAGCCAGGCATTTACCCAAAATGACCTCACAACCCCAATGCGGGGGAGGGAGTACTAGAACCTTGAATCAAGCGAATTCCCGACGATTGAGCCCTGAGCCTGCGAAAATCACGAAAGCTCTGAACTTCTCACTGCTGACCTTTGCCTATAGTGATCTAAGTATTTTTAGGGTCCGCTTCTACTCTGGGCCCTGAGATCTATATATACAGTAGCAACCAAGTACCCACTTCAGACCATTTGAACCCCTTGGGTCTGTCAAAACCCGAAACTCTACACCCTAGGGGCTTGGCAAGGAGCATCCACGGCGCCCGCAGGACCTCCGGTGGATCTACCGGCCACCGCGAAAGCAGGCATTGCTTCGACTGGTCAGCGAAGCTGGGGGGCTGATTTACGGGGATACATAGGACTTGTTGATGAAGGTTACTGGCTAGTGAAATCCCTAGGTATAGCCAGGTAATATCTTATCTTGTAGATAGCACCATTTAAGCATAAACCCTGCCTGAGGAGCATAACCATCGAAGCATAAACCTTCCGGGGAGAGATCCCCATCAGGCGGATGTTTATGAATGTCAAGCCATGGCTGGCATGGTATGGGATTGAGCTTAGATGGCATGTTTCAGTTGTTTGAAATTGGCCCGCCTGTCATGCTGCTGCTATGGAGTTGAATCCGGTTCTTGGCTGTCTGCCCCACAATCATGGGGTGGCCCTGGCATCCTTCGACCTCTGAAGATACCGCCAAGCCCAAGAGATCAGCGAAACCGAAACAATCCTAAAACCCAAACCCTAAACCCTGTGACATTTGCGCCAGAATATTGTTAGCGCCTGCCCGTGCTTGTGTTGTTCAGTTTCCATTTCTGGGCCTCCAGGCAAGATCATCATTATGACCGTGAGTACATGGAAGCACTCCAACCCGTGCAAAGGATGGCTAAGTGTGCTTCCCGACACAATCAGGCTTTTGTGGCAGGTTCCCAAGCGGCTCTAAACCCTAAACCCCCTACTTTTCCTGGAGAGTCCATGAACTGCCGAAGTTCCCCTGCCACACAACAGTTCAGCAGGCCCAGCTTAACACCTGTGAAGCACCGCCCTAAAGGTAGCAGGAATGTGAACCGTTCCACATTCCTAGGGTTTAGGGTTAAGGGTGAAGCAGCTGCCCTAAGCCCCAGACTCCGCTAGGCAGCAGTGACCGCGGCCGTGCGACGCTTCGTTGGAGCCTCTCGACGTTGTGTATAGGTGCGGCTGACAATGCGCCCCCCGCATGTATGCTCATCAGTCTATTCAGTTCACATAAAGCCATTATTCAATAGACAGTTCCAAAAAATCCAAAATTATTGGGGGCTTCCACCTTCTAGCTACAACCTCTTCAATTGTCAATCTCCTTGTGGAGGACAAAGCAGGCCTATAACGTGTTCTCGCTCCGAACAATTAAGGGCATGCATCATTCGAGGTTCCAGCGGCCTAGTGAGGAGGGGGAAATGGATCCCAGCATTGTTATTGCTGGTGTCGCAGGCTCAGTTGTACACAGTTGGATTTGCTTCCCTCAATCCCTGAAAAGCACGAGGCAGAATGAACCCTAAACCCTAAACCCTAACAGGCCAGGGCTTCGCAAGACATCATTTGCAGTCTGCATTGGCAGGATGAGTACCAATAAGGCTTCCTGCTCGTTTACATGTAAGCAAGGTGTACTACACCGCAAGTTTGCCTCGAAACGCTGTACGAATCGCTGCTCCTGATAGTAATAACCTCGTTCCAAAATCAGTAACTCCTGGCGCACTAATTACCTGTTTGTAGGCGCGAACACATATCTCCTGGTCTTCTAGGCAAAAATTGTGCCTATGAGAACTTTTAAAAAGCTTGGGTCTCGCCATTTCAGTGCTGTCACATCCCGCAATTCTGCGCAAATCAAATGGCCCACGCACAATCCAAACCCTTCATGGCTATATAATTTCCCAAAATTAGGCAATTTCGGGGAGTTACATTCCTACCTTCAGCCTGCATCCAAGCCCGAAACGTAGCAACGACACCGCCACCCGAAAGAGGAATCATGCTCATTGCTTCGCCTGTTCTCTTGGTCCCGGGATTCGATGTCAATTGCCGTGCTTTGAGGGGACTTACGGGGAACCTTCACGGTTCTGCTGCGCAAACCGCCTAGACCCCGTGTCCTTCATGTGGAACCCCCTGGCAGAAATCGCATTCCCATCCAATGAACTCTTCAGAATTCATAGAGTCCCGCGTTATCCTCTTCCCCCTTCCACGCCTCAGCCAAAAACAGCG